GGAAATGTGTGTTTTTGTTTTCATTTATTCAATAGTTACGGAAGTCACTTAATACTTCAATGATACGGGGAGGGGCTAAGAACACTGCACATTGTAAACAGAAGGAAGATAATGGTATAAAACCTAACGCAAAGCCATTGAGAAAATGATGGGCTGAGGAAGGAACAAGAAGCTCTAAAGAGAAAATATGGGTTGGGCATGGATAGTTTTAGCACAAGCAATTAAAGTGTTGTTAAAATGCCATGTTAAAAATGTATTACTTAGGTGCTAGGAATTTATACCATGGCCTCATACATGCAAAGCACGTATCAATAGACTATACCTCCAGCCCTAGGTTAATTTTTATTTTTTTCCACAGTATTGGAGACTGAACTCAGGATCTTGCACTTGGTAGGCAAGTGTTATATATCCCAGTGTATATACCCCGGTTATATACCCAGTATATACCCCAGTTATATACTCCATGACTGCAAATAATTAAGTAAAGAAGCAAAAATCCCATATCTTGAGCAATAGTGAATACTCTGATTTAGCTGAATCATATTGCCAAAAATGGCAACTGATAGTGTGGGCCAATAAAAGACTAATTTTTAAAGTAGCATTTTCAGTGCATCAAGAATTGCTACCTTCAAGTATTTTGCTGTAAATATTACACATTCCATTTTCTTATCTATTTGCTATCCAATAAGAGCAAACTTAAGTATCTTCAAACAGTCTAAGAAGCGCCAATATTTAAAATGCTTTTATACATTTTAAAAATGGAAGCAGTTTTTTTTCCAAAATGAATGCACTGTTTCAGGGTCAAAATTAAATCATTTCATTAAGTGCTGAAATAAGAGACAAAGGTGCATGAAGACCTGTTGACTACTGGACTTAGAAAACCTGAGCCTCAGTAAACATATAGAACCAACCCAGATGCCCCTCAGTAGATGAATGGATCAAGAAAATGTGGAATATATACACAATGGAATTCTATGCCTCCATCAGAAAGAATGACATTGCCCCATTTGTTAGGAAATGGAAAGACTTGGAAAAAATTATATTAAGTGAAGTAAGCCAGGCCCAAAGAAGCATAGGTGCCATGGTTTCCCTTATTTGCAATAACTAGTATATGTCTGAGACAAGCAGAAATGGTCAGATAAGTTGATGTTAGATGAAATAAACACCAAGATAAGGACTCAAATGTTTTTTTTCTTTTTTGCTATTGTGTCTAACATATTAATAAGATGATTTCTTTGTTGCTTTGTATGTCCCTCCCCCATGGTATTACCCCTGTTTTCACTGTATTTGATATTGGTATACTTTGTGGAGGGGAAGGGAAAAAACAAATTGTTTAAATACGGATACAGATGGACCCATTGAGACAATGAGATGTGCAAGACGTTATGTCGAAAAATGAACTTTACAACTCTGGCAAGGGCCGGTGGGAGGCGGGCTCTGGGGGGGTGAGGGTGGATGGGAAGGGATGGGAAGAGGAAACAAAGGAGGCAACAATGCTTGATAAAAAAAATGTACTCATTACCTTGCTCATGTAATTGTAACCCCTCTGTATGGTATTTTCACAATTAAAAAAAATGAAAAAAAAGAAAAAGAAAAAAAGAAAAGAAAACCTAGCCTCAGGAGAAGTAGAGCAATTGCTTGCCTTGAAATAAACACCTGATTGCTAGCTGTTATTTTACTGTTATTATTCCAGTGTTATTGTCACTATATAGTATAATGAAAACCAGTTGAAACAAAATATTTAAAACATGTTATGAGTATTAATCAATGTTCCTAAACAAACATATGTTATATACACACACCTTTATGCAAGGTACCATGGTTGCTTATAGCAATTGGGATTGAAGAGGACATATTCTAAACCATCTCTGTTTTTCATGAAGTTCTGTGTATGTTTTTGTTTTACTGCCAAATTGTTCATTCTTTATTTCTGTCCTCCTCCAACATTTTCTAGTTTCCAAATATCTGTAGTTAATAATTTTCTTCTGTAATTAGTAACAGTAACCAAATTCAATGTCTTACTGCTTTGAGTTGTTGGATTCTATTTCAGTTCCTAATTCTCCCATTATATTTTTCTATTTTCAATGCACATGACACAAAATAAAAAAGAATCAATTCCTCTAGGCTGAAGCCTAGGAGACATAATCTTGACATAATTACATATTTCAAACAATCTAAAAATGTCTGACACATATTTTTTAGCTAAAAGGGGATTTTCTCCTGGGTTTATCCAGTATCAACAGTGAGAAGTTGTACACAGTCAAGTTCTAAATTTTTGGCAAGCAAACATAAAATTATTTACCAATATAGGAGAGTATTATCATTTTTTTTAGTGTTGGTTTTGTGACCATTTATGAATTTCACTGTCAAAAATAAATTCCACATAATTTCTCTCTATTTCCATGCTTTGGTATAGAATTGATGTTCACAAATTATAGGGATGACAAGGAAATTTGATTCAAAATTCCTATGGTTTATGGAAGGAAATGTTTCATTCTTTGTTAGAGTGAAGAGACGACCAATGTATATTTTAATATACCATTTCTTTCCTGTTTAGAGACCAGGCTGCTTCCTTTTGTCAATTAATTTCTAAGATTGTGAGGCAAAGTAACCGAATGACAAAATAATCCTAGGTAAAAGGGATTGCTACTCAGGTTCATGGGGCTCTTATATAGATATTAATTAGTGCCAGACCCTACTCTAAATGTTATATTAAACCTTAAAGAAAGAAAAGACAAAGATAAAACAATATAGAGCTCAGAACACAGAAGTAGAAACCAAACACATAATTTAAAATGAAAGGAATAAAGACTGAAATAAAATGTAAAAAAATAAAGACATATCATAGCCAAATGTTATTCAATAAACTCACTATTTGAACTGTTGAAAATTCATTTTGAAAGCATTCATACTTCGTTGTTATTCCTAAAATGACCACAATCAGTAGTTCAAAATGATCACATGTATATGCCTACTGTTTCAGTCATCTCATTCATTATTTCATTGGCTTGTGGATACATTGCCTGCCCCTCTGAACTCAACTGTAGACTCAAGTATGCCATGAAAATAATACAATTCAATTCAATCCTTAAGCCTTTTTTTCTTTTTCTTTTTCTTTTTCTTTCTGGTCAGTAGTGGGGCTTGAACTCTGGGCCTGGGTGCTATCCCTGAGCTCTTCAGCTCAAGGAGAGTATTCTATCACTTGAGCCACAGCGCCACTTCTGGTTTTCTGGTGGTTACTGGAGATAAGTCTCAGGGACTTTCCTGCTGGGGCTGGCCTTAAACCATGATCCTCAGATCTCAGCCTCCTGAGTAGCTAGGATTCTTAAGCTTTTTAAAAAATTTATTTATTAATAATTCAAATGTTTAGATATACTCTCTGTGAAAAAAAGGGAATCAAATTTGACTGTGCCTTAATTTCCTTACCTGAGAAATGAAGCTAATCATTACGTATCACATAAGGTTGTATTTCTTATGGAAGTTTACTAAATTCTATTTGTAACCTGAACATGGATGGGTGGTGACAGCAGTGTCCACAGCTTTAAGGCACTGAAGTTCTTGTCCTCCGTGAGGACATAGGACAACATCCTTATAGCAATTTATTGAGAATTCAACTAAGTCATTCAAAAGTAGGGGATTAACAAATTTTCACTAGCCCTAGAATAGATAAGCAGAAGCATACTTGTACTTTTACATAGGAGAAAATAAAGTGATTGCTTCACGGTAAGTTTCGAAAGAAACAACCAGCACTATGCACTTATTCAAATAGTTGGCTGACTGTTGGTGTTTTGGCAAACTCCTTGGGAAAGGCTTAGTGGCCAATGGTTTTTATACACTTCCATGTCAAGAACCACTGGTGTGATCGTGGAACCAACTCCTAAACTCAACTGAGCCTTCTTTTCCTAACTTTTAAAAAGAAGGACTTCAACAAGGTGGCCTCTAAATCCTCTTTTTTATATGTGGTATGGTATCAAGAAATTTGGTGGATTTATCTGGAGGAGTGAAAATACCAAAATAATATTTTATGGAACACTAGAGACATAAAAACACAAGAAATTAAAACATTAAAGAACTAAATTCATACCCACGGTTGTATAATTTACATTTGAAAAAAAGTGACATAGTTATAGAATTATCAACATATGTTGGCTGGCAAATATACTTCTTTTATGTTTTTAGAGCAGTATCTTCAACTGCATAAATATTAAGCAATAGGAGAGGAATAATAAATTATATATATATATATATATATTTCTATCCATGTAACAACTACACAGGTTGCATATTATTATTAGGTATCAGGAAAAGGAAATATGAAATACATCAGAAAAGCAAAATATATACACATAAGATATGAAAAAGGAAATATAGATATTTTCATAATTAAAATGAAAAATTAGGCAAAAAGAATCATTAACTCTTTGAAAAGAGGTAAGAGAGTATTCATTATGAAGAAAAACCTTTTTCATCCATAATTAATTTTTAAACTGTCTGCACATCATAAAAGACTATATCCCCAAGCCAACAAGCAATATCAGACCTAAAAAAAAACATGGAAAAAAGGTATTTTTAAATATAATTGATCACATTTAACAATGTTTTAGCAAAATCCATAAAATGGCAGCCACAAAGTCCATATGACAGGAAACATTGTATTTATTTCTAGAACTGAAGGAAGAGTATAAATAATGTGTACAGCAAAATTAAAAAGATTTTTGTTATTAAATTATGCTATTCACTAGTTGAAATATATTCAGCATCCAAAAGAAAGATACAATAAAATGTTTATATGAATGAGTCTGAAATTAAAAAAAAAAGTATGACAAAAAAACAAAACTGGACAAAATGGTATGAAGGTGAAGCTGTTATTCTATTATACTATTAAATTATTCTGTTATACTATTATAAAAGGTATTAGGTATCCTGGGCCTGTGCGCACCCTCTAAGCTTATGCAAAACACACCTACTTTTCTGTAGCAGCACTTTGTCATTTTCCATACCTGTGGGTAGCTGTCAGTTCTTGGTAAAACTGAGATATCATAGGTGGCAGCAAAGTGGCTTTTAGCTTGCTGTATTTGACCGTAACGTTCCCTTTTCCTCCACTTGGCCCTTCGATTTTGAAACCAAACCTATTTTTTTTTAAAAAAAGAGAATTTTAGCTGAGAAATATTTTAGGAAAGCAAGTATGACAGTAAAGATTTCAAACCGGATAGGAAATTGTTAAGTTAACAAAATAACTTAACAAAGTTTATGTCAGAAAACAATACTGAAACGTTATTCTCTTATATGTGATGTGTCTATGAGGGAATATCATTCACAAATAGGAGACTTTCAGCAAATTTGTTCGATACATCATGTTTCTGTTTAATCATTTATGGATAATAAAATGAATTACACTGTATCATCTCTCTTACATTACCACATGATCAGGGTAATCCCCTTCTAATCTAAAGCCATATTATTATTTGAGTCTCTTAAGATTTATTTTTTTTAAAAACATGTCTCAAAATGACTTTTCTGGATAATGTCTATATTTAAATATATTAAAATATAAAATATTAATCATAAAACCAAAATATTAAGATTCAATATAAAACATATAGCAGTAGATACCTCCATTTAGACATAGGAAAAAAATAAGATTCCATACTGTACTGAGCCTCGTGAGGATTACAGGTAAAGTGACGTCAGTATGAAACTTACCTCTGTTTTTTAAAATACATACATGTAATGATCACATGAACTATATCAGATATGGAAAATGCTCAGATGCTTTCACAAACATCCTTCCATAAGTGATAAAATACATTAAGACTAGCAATAAAGCTAATATTTTAGACAGACAATTACCCAGAATTCCTGGGGGTGACGGGTTCTATCAGGCCACTAAACTGTTTTATACAATTTCTGTAATTAATCTATTTGAAATATTGATCCTAAGAAATTTCTCAGAAGGTTCATTAATTCATACTTCTATTTCTCAAGAATGTCCACTGTAATATTGCAGCCTATTAAAACACACATACCTAGAACTATGTTCAATATGAAAAACTTTGATTTGTTTTCCATGAACATGATCCAAGCGGCTTTCAGAAATCATACTATTATTATTTATACAAGTATGTACCAACATAAAATGATTAGGGAAGAAGCAGGCAATCAAGTATGAAAATGAACTCAAGTATATATAAGTGAAAAATGAAAGGGCCTTTCATTCACATTTAATCAAAACTCCCATACATTGTTCCTCATTTTTAACTCTAACTTTATATATCTTCACAACTTTGGTTACATTATTCCTATTCAGTATAACGTCATATTGCAAATTGAGATGGAAACTTCGAAGAGCTTTCAAGCAAAACACAAGAGCTACCTGTTTAGAACATGTTCCTACTACACTGCTGGCAATAAAGATTATCCGTTCTACCCAGGACTTTAGATGGCAAGCAAAGTAAAGAAAAGAAAACATATGTTGCTGCTGTTTCCAGAGACAGGCACCAAGAGCACACTAAGAGAATTTATTAAGAATAGATTTTACCCTGTAAGTTTTGATTTGTTTTTCACATTGACAAAAAAGACTAAGATTCTCCTTAAAATGAATGACTACATCCAGTCTCATGTGAAAAGCAGGATGGAGAACAAGCTGAGAAAATAGGATTCGAGTTGGATCTCTAGGTATGTTCTAAGATAAAAATTAATCAGGACTTGAGGGGGAACGTGGGTAGTGCATAGCTGATCACTCTATATGTAAACACATTTTTCTATGGTTACAAGTATAACTAATTCAAATACATATGCACAAGACAAAAAAAAACACATGCAGGACTGATGTTAATATTTGACCATTCTAAAATTCTTCATTAGCACACACTATCTATATATTTACTTCCTGAGCTAAGATAAAATAACCATTTGCTTCCACAACTCAAGCAAAAATCTGCTGCTTGTTAACCCTGAACCACCAGATGTTGTTTTTAATGACACATGGGCCTTATGATGGCTTGATCTTAAGAAGTAATACTTATTGCACTTGGAAAAGCATTATTCACCACTTATTCATTTTTTTCTCTTGGTGTTTTAACATTTTCTAGAATAGTAAAAATAATCCCTAATAAAATGCTTGCTTCTTACTGCTGCATTTGAAACTCTTCTAACTTGTAAGTAATAAAATAAAGGTCAAGAACATCAAACCTAGCTAAAATAAAATATTCTTACAAGTTGGCATTTTATCCAGTATATTTTCTTTTTTTTTTTTTTTTTTTAGTTTTTTAACACTAAGTACACTGAATGATCTTATTTGAAAATTTGAATCGTTTTTTGTAAACATGATTGAATATGCAAAATAATTATTTTGAGAAATATCATCACTTGGAAAAACTTAAAGATTTACCTATAGTTTAGAAGATAAAATATGACAGTCTGTAGTGACAACAGCTGAGAACAGAAAATTACAAATGAACTATTTAGTGTTCACATTTATGAAGGTATCTTGTGATATACAGAATAATCGGAAGTTTGTGTAATGTTTCATTTTCTCTTTTGTTAGCTCCTCAACCTAAATAAAGCTATTTATGCACTACTAGAAAAATAATATCTGGTATGTAACCTAAAAAACCCTCAATAGTTGAAAAAATAAAAAGTTAATATACTGTATTGATTACCTGATAGACAATTATCAATTTGGTCTTGACCTCTTGGCAGTTTCTTTTTGAGACCAGAGCTATGTTATTGTAGTCTGTTTCTTTGTAAATGACTTTTAAGTTTTAAAGTTATATAATGTAACTAGACTTCTTATGTTTTGTGAGAGTTGTTAAAGTTTTGCTAATAACAAAGGGATTCTGATGGCCCTACAAGCATATACATCCCATTGTTCTATGCATTCAGTGGGGAGTCAGTTTCTTCCTTGATGAGCCATTGCAATTCATAATTTACTCTGCCATGCCATTCTTTCCACATTACCCAGCCAGAACTCCATTTGATGCCTACCTGCACCCTGGCCTCAGTGAGTTCCGTGCGCAGTGCCAGTTGTTCCCTGACATACACATCCGGGTAGTGGGTTTTCTGAAAGACCTTCTCCAGCTCTTCCAGCTGCAGGCTGGTGAAGGTTGTTCGGTGTCTTCTCTTCTTACTGCTGGATACATTGCTGTCACATTTATCCCCAAGTTCATCCAGTTCTCCTTTCTCTGGCATCCCTTTCACGGGAGACATCCGGAGACTGTTGCAGTTGTCCATGGCTCTATTCAGTTCCGTGTGAAGAGGCTGTCCCTCTACTTTGGTGATCCCATAGTTCACTGCATCCAGAGGGGAAAACAATGGTGCTCAGAAATGTGAAAGACATTTCCACGAATCCAGTAGAAGCAATTTAGGGCATAAAGAAATAAATGTGCTAAGGATTAACTGTGCCAGTGTGAAAACGGTCATCACACCACACAGAATGTACAATTATTAATTTACTGTGGAACAATCTTAAAATAAGTTTTAAATGTGTACATGCAACTCGTAAGTTGCCAACATCCACAGTACTCATGCAATATATAATCATCTACTCTTAAAAAAGAAACTCAGTGATTATGACATTTGAAAATGAATGAAACATAACTTGTCATGTAAAAGACAAAATTAATCGACTCCTGTGGCTCAAAAAATATTTCAATTGTAAATAGTACCTATACAATAGTATCTAACAGTTAACTCTTCTTCCACTTAAAAGTTCTTAAGTGAACCAATGTGGAACATTATTTCCATTACACTTTTAATATTTTAAGTGAAAACTCACATCGGAATTTAAATTTCTTTCAAAAAGCCATATACTAAATTCAAAATGAGCCTTGTCAATCTCTGGAAGTGGTTTCTCTATAGAAAAGAGTAAGTTTTTCAGCAAACTACTTTTAACTCATCTCACAGCTCTTTAATTATTTCATTTTTGTTTAACTCGGGAAATATATTTTAAAACAGAAGGTTTCATTGTTTTCTCTATGAACGCAGAGAAATTAAAACATCTATTAAAACGTTACAAAGGTTGACATCTGGTGTTGTGTTAAGGGGTGTTTTAATTTCGGTAATTTCCTTCAGATTTGATTGCACGCTTGCAACATGATATAAAACAAAAATGAATCCTATAATGCCACACACGCAAATACCATGGATACACATAATGAACTGGAAGTCATTTTTGCTTTGTAAAAAGTAAAGTCAATCCTGTCAGACCAATACTTTTCGGCAGACATCGTACTTGTACCGTTGTTTTTATTTGTCTCTGTTTTGTAAACCAGTCCCGGGAACATATTTTAAGAGCCAGTTCATTTTGATGGACAAACATGCCTTGAAGCTTTCGTGTAAAGGAAGGTGCTATGTAAATATATATATATATATATATATATATATATATATATATATATATATATATAAAGAAGGAGCAGGACTTATTAACAATACGGGTTTGTCTCTGAGGACCGAGCCAACCCGGGAACTGCGGCAATTAGGAGTGGGGGAGGGGGCGCAGTGGAGACGCTGGGGGCATCTCAGGAGACAGACTAGATCTTTCTACAGGAAATCGGACATTTGTCCTTGGGCATCCTATTCAATCCCTTTCTGTTAAAAAAAAATATCCTAAGCGTGTGATATTTGTTCAGAAGTTGATAGAAGTTAATAACAACCAAAATTACTCATTTCTCTTCTCACTTCGGGTTTCCGACAATTTAAAATATGACTAATGTAGCCGACACAACAGGTCATCAAAAAAAAGAAAGATAGAAAGAAAGGAAGAAAGGAAGAAAGAAAGAAAGAAAGGAAGGAAGGAAGGAAGGAAGAAAGAAAGAAAGAAAGTTCTCTCCGTTCTAATAACTTTCTGCACACACTTGAAAAATCCCAAGGACACAGACACTGTGGTCACCAAGACAGCCAGAAAGTCCGAAATTACGAGCAGTAAAGAATTAGCGATCAATTTTTTTTTCTAAATAAATGATAAAATTACTGCTTGTCGCTGGTCGTTATGCTACTAATGTTTCAAAGGTAACGATGCGACTCGGAATGAAGTCAAATATGAGTTGCATAAGAAGCTTCTGTACGAATTTTTTTTTAGAAAACAAATTCCTTCCCACAAAGCTGGTGTCTGGCGAGATTTTGTGAACTTCCATTAAAATAGGGTGCGGGGGGGGGGGGGACTTGTTGTAAATATTTCACACTTAATTCGTTTGTTATTTTAAAGCAGCCCGCTCCTTACAGCTTAACTGTAGAATATATACAATGATAAGGAAAAGGGACTCTTGAAATTGTAAACGTGCTTTAGCTGTCGAGATCTGAAATAATAGGTTTGTATTGAATTACAAGATAGAAAAGATAGATGGTTTGTTTTGATGACATTTTGACTCTGAGATACTTGGGCATTCAAAGTTGAAGATTTAGCCCAGAATCCTTCTGAAAGGCTTACGAGGTGACTTTTCATGGGAAGTAAGGAATCCTCAAGTGACTGATGATCTCGGGGATTCTTTGCCCCCACACAACTCAAAATAATTGGGTGAGTTTTAAATGAAAAAAAAAAATCAGGTGTTTTGTTGGAGACGCAAAACAATTTTTTTAAAGCGCAGAAATCACAAATTCACACAAGCTCTGTTTCTTCAAACTTTAAAACAGCGTCATTCTTCAGACGATTTTGTTTTTCACCTAAAAAACAACGATTTCTTTCTCTTCCCTCCCTCCAGAGGATCGGGAAGTGCTCCCCCGGGCTGTGAAGGACCTCAGCCCCGGCATCCGGCTCGCGGGCAGCCGGCGCGCTCCACGGCCGACCTCAGCCTCGTTAGCGCTTATCAGTTTGCCCTGGAGGCTTAATTACAGCCTTTCGAACCCTCAGAGGCACCAGCCGACCTCGAAAAGAGAATCGCGCGAAGCCACCGCGTTCAGGATCTTTCCTTGGCACCCGATCCCCAGAAGTCTACTCCAGGACACCGCGCGCTCTAAGGGGCGCACCGCGCCTCGGCCTTTCTCGGCCCAGCTCCAGCCCCTCTGGTGCTCGCTTTTCTCTCCCGCACCCCCGACACCCCTGTACCGCCTAAACGTGCTGACCCAGTGGGAGGTTTTCCCGAGCCGGGGATGGGGGGGGGGGGGGAAGGGGGCTGCGTGGCGGGGCCGCGCCTCTGGGGACTCACCACTGTTGTCCTGACAGGGCGAGGTCCTCTCCAGCCGCACGTGATGCTCCGCTCGCGGCAGGGGCCCGAAGGCCTGCACGCATTTGCCGGCCGACGCTTTGCCGTAAAAGGACTCATTGTCCAGCGTCTCCATAACGTGCTCCAACGCGCCTCCTGCGCCCATGTAAAAGTCACTGGTTTTACTTGGCGGACTCTTAAGAGCAAACTTCTCGCTCAGAAACTCCATAATCCTGGATGGCTCGTCTGGGAGTTGTCCGGGCGAGGAGTGGAGGGTAGCGCTGGAGAAGAGGGGAGGGTGGCGGGGGAGGGGGGGAGGAGGGCGCGAGTGGGCGGGAGGAGGGAGGGCCACGGAGGAGGGAAAGGTGAAGGAGAGCTTGAGGCTGGGCGACGCCGGGAACTGCCGGCTCTGAGCCCTTTAATACGTCCCGGCTGGAAAAAAAGGGGGCACCCGAAGTTGCCTTTATATCTTGAAACTCAGCTGGGCTCCTCGGGCAACCTCCCAGTTCTAATGAATATGAAAATAGGCAGTCGACTAAACTCCACCCCAGGGTTCCCCCCCCCTCCGCCCCCACCCTACCCCACCTCCATCTTCCCCCACTTACCCTGGCGGGGGGTGCGTCCAGGCCTAGGTTGCACGGACAGTTCCAATTCAAGCAAATGCCAGCAGAGACCAGGCCCCTGCCACCCAGAAACATTGTCGCCTCAACCGCGGACTGGCATTTTGGAAGACGTTGGGTGAGATCGCACCGCAGTGAACCCTTCACTCCCCCCCCCCCGGCCCCACGCTGTGCGCCCGCCCGGACCACCCGCCCCACACCCCATGTCCAACCCCCCCCATCCAGCCACCCACCACCAGAAAGATTTACAGAGGTATCTTAAGAACTTGAAAGGAAGTATTGCTGTAAAAGGCTTTTATTTCATCTGTAGATGGTTTACGGGGAAGATCCACATTCATCTCAAGCCCCAAAAGGAGCCCGATCCAAGCATTGTGAAGGAGAATGGCGAGGCTTTATAAAGAGACCGCTCAGGGCTTCTAAGCCGGACGAGCTAGGGCGTCCGCGCCATGTCAGCTTCTAAAGAGGCCCAGGGCCTTTTCCTTTCTCTCGAGAATGCATAGCGATGGATGGATGGGAAAGGGAATAAACAGAACGAGAGCCAAGGGAGCGATTCGATTATTCCACTTACCAGACGATTTCCCCATCGCCTCTCCACCTTTCCCCTTGGGCCCCGATTGTGATCATCAGACCCATATTATTTTTATAAAATAAATCTGTTGAAACAAGTGCCCCCCCCCCCCAAAAAAAAAGACCCAGAGGAACATTCCTTGCACCGGCGGGTTAAGGGAGGAGAGAGGTTGGGCCTTCGGCATGCTTGGTAAAGGGGAAATAGTTGTACTTGGGGAGAGTGGCGATGAAGTGTCGGGGAGCACTGGGCGCGGGGGCCAGGACCTCGCCCGCAGGGGACGGGCAGGCCAGGCAGGGCCGGGCGGGTGGTGCAGGACCTTTGGAATTAGAAGTGTCTCAGGGTTTAGGGTGACCTCCGGCTTCCAAGGAGACGCTGGCTCATAAGCGAAAAGCGTTCATTGCCTTGGGCGCGCAAAATAAATAAAAGAAATACTAATAATAAAAATAGGCAGTCCTTGGCAATGAGCCCCTTAACCGACGGATCTGATGAAAACCCCACAGGTTGTGTGCCCGGGAGGTCTCGGCGTGTGTGTGCTGACAAAGCCAGAAGGGAGAAATCCCTGCGCGGGGGGGCGGGGTGGAAGGGGGCTGCAGCCTCCTGGCAATTACACCGCGATCGCTGACACGCCGGGTACCCCAGATTTGGGAGATGGAAAAGCCAAGCCTAACACAGGCAGGCATCCAACTGGGTTCGGGAATGCGCCTTGCTTTTCGGGATCTTGGGGCTGATCCGCTCCCCACGGAGGGAGGATATTTCTCTTTGAGACCCAACCTGGACGCAGCCTAGGAAGAAAAAAAAAAAAAAAAAAAAAACAATTCCCGAGGCGCTACACACCCCCCAAGAGCCGCAACTTAGCACTGCCCTAAAGGCGGGGCCCGACAGGAAAACGCGTTTCCCACGAGTGGAACCAAGCGGAAGGGCCAGCGCATAACAGCCGGGTTAGCGGTCCCAGAGCCACCCGAGACCGTTCTCCCGAAAAGGGGCGCCAGCTCGCTCCCCGTGGTGGAGTCTTGCTTGGCGTGGCCTTGATTGCGTACTCAAGCCCGGGAGAGATGAAGTTGTTCCTGCCTTTGAATTGGTTGTGCTGTTTTATTGACGGGAGCAGGGCAGTTTACCTCAATAGATAATTGTCACATCTCAAGAGGGCGCAGGGTGGGGGAGGGTGAAGTATTGGGGATGTGCGTGTATGGGGGGGGGGAACTATCCCCCAAGAAAGCCCGGGGGCTCCTTGAAAAAGGAAACAGATAACCTCTGTTCTTCGTGGACAGTCTTCTTCTTCCACCTCGTAAAAGGCCAGGGACACGCGGTCGGTAAAATACTCTCGCTGAGCTGGGATGCTTACACACTTTCCAGCTGACACCTGAGCAAAGCTGTGTGGGTACTTCGGGTGTGGACTTTGACCCTCAATTCGTGAATGGGTTGGTGACTTTCAACATTCTCCCACCATCCTTTGTATCCGTGTTGTTCAGGTATTCTGAAATTCTGACCTTCTCTAATAGACACGGGAAATGGCAAGAGAAATAGTCATTTAATTCTTTTTTCCTAAAAATTCACAGCAGCAAGAATTCCCTTTTGCTGAGTGGAGTCATATAAAGAATTCCTCCTTACAAACTAAGTTATGTCGTAGAGTTCTGTCCGCTTGTTTATAAATACGCGTTTTAAGAGCCGTAAATTCCTTGAAAAACATTCGGTGTCTTTTAAATGAAAGACATATGATGCAAGCTCTAGAGTACTTGTATGCCAATAAAGACACAACTCAGAGGAAACGGCAAGGTAGCCCAGGAAAGCAGCTGCCTTACAAGTCCATTTCCACTCCATTAACCCAACTCAATTTTGATGGTAGTGGTTGTAAGGGATGAGGTGCAAGGTGTCACCAGCCCCACTTAATATCCTGAAGCCCCCTGGAAATGCAAATCTATTTACATGGAATCTCTTGTGCTTTGTGACATGTAACCACATGTGCCCATAACAGAGGGAACAGCTAATGGCAGGCTCCCATAGCAAATGTTTAATCTGCAGTTTTTGGCAAGAAGTTAGGACTTTGGTTGCCAAGAGCTGCATTAAAAGGACTTTGAGAGGTTGAGATAGAGTTTATAGTAATGACACAGCTCTAGTCATTGGAACATTAAGAGTAAGTTAAAAATAAGACTCATTAAAACAGAAATAAATGATTTCTGAAAGTCAGAGAAAGGAGAGAGAACCTCAAATTGGAAAGCATCTCGCCTTTCCTGGGATCTATCTACCTGTGCCTTTTCTGCTGGATGGTTTGGGGGTAACCTTGATAATCAACCATAACACTTTGATAACTGCTTTCAGCTACCCTGCGCAGATCCATTATGGGGCTTAGCTCCTTGCCAGGTTTTTAAAACTGGCTTCATATGGGCCTTGTCTTGCTTCCTCCTCTGATTCTAACCAATCCATCACTTCCACACAGAGGTCAGTATTCCTGAAGGGTGATTCTCTGGCAAGGAAAAAAAAGCTTCTAGTTGGGATTTCATCTCTGCAGGATCATCTGGTCAGCTAGAGGTTATCAGTTCCTTCTTTGCTCCTTCTTTCAATTTCATCTTTCAGAGTCACGTTCAATTATTTTCATACTTGGAATCAAAACCCAGGATTCAGCTTGCCTTGTACTTCAGCCAATAGTTGTACATACAATAAGTTGGTCTGTCTCCTATTGTGGTTTGCCTTCTTCCTATTTGAATTTTTTAGTTATGGTCGCTAGCACCTACAGTCGGCAGTCCAAGTGAAGGCAGGGGAGTAGCAAAGGTGGGGAGCCATTTTGTAAAGCCTAAACACATTTAGGACACCCTTGGGTTCCGCACTTTGGAATCTCTGAGAGCTCTGATGTGTCTCTTCGCATCTTGATGAAAGTGATGAGCCGCGCCTGTGGAGTGCATCAGGGAGAAATGAAAGAGTGAAGGGTGAAGGCTAAGGAGACCTATGTCAGTTTAGGTCTCTTCTGCTTTTTCCTTTAGCAATTTAGAGGTGCTGGAGTGAAATAGATCATTCCTCTGGCACCATCAGATGCTGAGAGTGGAAAGGCTATTTTGTGAAGATGACTGCTACTCTCCTTGGAAGTTTCATCTAACATTATTCCTACAAGGGTGGTTTGGGTTTGGTGCTAGTTTCCCAAAACAGTGATTTAGGGTGTTTAAAATTTTTTTTACTTAGTTCTCTTTACAGCACAACATTAAAATAATTCAATAAGTTAAAACTATTTGAAACATCAATTGAAACGGCTATTTGACTATTTTGACTATTTGACTACTTTCCCTCATTGAAAAGTAAAATTCAGGTAAGAGATGAACAGTCTAGGGCATCTAGACTCATTTTACATGGAAAAAAATTCTCATGGGCTAGAATGTGCTTTCACTACTCCTTTCATTTTGGCAAATGTATTTGGGTTAATAAAAAGATTTCTATTTCTAAATATATACCTCAGGAAAAGTAGTAGCAAGAATGTGTAAGACACTCTAGCTTCTTTCCCTCTCAACTTACACAGTGTGAGTAAAAATACCAACAAAGTATTCTAGATTTAGTGCTTTTTTTTCCAGAGGGAGTTCAAAACTTATTATAAGAAAATCTAGAAGGGAAAAATGCATGGTGACATAGGAAAAGTCTGCCAATGTAGAAAGGCAGCAGCGATCTGGTGAGGGGAGGAGGAACTGGTAGAGGGAAACTCTCATGAAAAAGCACTAAAATAATTGAAAGTCATGTATCATGGCAAAGAGCCAGGTAGCCTCGTGTTTGTGTGTGCTCTGCTGGGGCTTTCCCTCCCTGGCTTCATCTTGAACATCTCATGGCTCTGCAGACAGAGTACATACAGAACTATATTTTTACTGAAGCAGTTCAGAAGGATCACACACACACACACATGTGTATATATAATATATATCTTTGGGATTAGAAATATTTGAGATTAATATATATATATTCAAGCCAACATCATCTACAGGCAGATAAATGTATGACTTGGTTAATATTGGTTAATATTTGTAAAGACGGTCTTTCCAAAAACAATCACTTCAATATTAAGTGAACCAGTCCTGTCACAAATGTAATAGATTAAGTTTACCTTGATACTGTTTTGATATCTCAAAACCTCTAAATGTGTTCCCCCCCCCCCCAAATAGATACAAGTGTTTTTGAGTTACAGACTTAGTACAGTAACTTTTTTTTTCACTTAGTGGACTTTAGATTTGACTTTGGATCTTCAATATATAGGGTTTAAGTGAAAATATCTAAGGTCATTATTTGCCTGTGTACACATATTTCTTTTGACTTATTTGACAATTTCTATAGGTATCATTTAAGTCATCAAAATGTATTTTATTGCAAATATAAAAATAATTATCTATAATAATGTAATAAGTTTTACTTATATCTAAGGCTATTTTCACTGTTTTAGAGGAGTTTCAAGCATTGTTCTTCCATGACACATACCTTTAGATGGTCCATAAGTAATCT